CCGAGATTTGCAATCGAGAGCTGCCAAAGCGATAAGATGACGCGAGTCTCTTTGATACTCCGCGAAATTGAAAGCTGGGATCCTTATAAATAACTGGAGTGGCTCGTTGTGCGTGGATCGAGAGGCGGGCTGAGTGTCTACACGAATATCACTGTGCTCGACGAGATAAACGCTCTCTTTTCCTCCTGTATGTCATGTCTATCGATACGCGAATAAGACTTAGAGCTACACGTCAAAATAGCCCCATAAATCTCTTAGGGGTCCCGTAAAACACCCACGAATCACACGATCAGACTTGTGATGGAGTCATGAGGCTTCGACTGAGTCCCCGGAAGTCGTAAAAATCGAATGGTTTTTTCAGTGGGTTTTCCGAAGACAATTACATACACCATTCTGACGGTGGAATTTGGAGATCTAGGTGCTGGCTGCGGTCAGGCGGCTTTTCAGCCCTAGTCTGGCAGACTTGGGTCTTATGCCGCAATCACACGCTGAATTTAGCAGCTGAATGTGGAAGTCAACAGTCATCGCCCAACGGCTGAAATTTAGCAAATTCGAGTTATCTTCATCCAGATGTGTATCAAATCTACTCGAATAGTTCAGACAAATTCAACATTAGTCCGGTGGTTGCTGAGAATCGTTGCTGAATTTTGAGCGTCACGCGCAAAATTCAGGCATCGGGCCGATGACTTCCACATTCAAGCCACATTCAGCTCCCACATTCAGCGTGAGATTGCGGCATTAGAACTCCTGACATAATTGTGTCAGATGAGGACGCTTTAGAGATTGAGGGAAAGGGAGGCAGGAAAATAAGAGAGAGGAGAAAGCGGAGAAAAAGACGAGGAGGAAAAAAGGAAGGAAAAATATTAGAAAATAACGCCAACAAAAATATTCAAAAATTTTCTAAGAAATGAATGTTTCATATGAAGAAATTTAGCAACATCCGAGTGATCATACGATGTTTCTTCTCAGCATGACAGTGTACTTCTCAGTATTTTCCTTCCCAAAACGCAGTTTTTCAATTTGAATTAGACGTATTTCAACGAAGAGAGTGTGCAAGTGAGAAATATGGGGTGTGCTCGTTAGTTCTCTTTGCGTAAGAGTGAATGAGAATATTAAAGCGCCAGTGACGTCAGCGGCAATGAAAAAGCCGCCCGGCGCAACGTCGTCGTCGTCGGGGGGAATTAACTCATGAGCCCTGTCCACAACGCTCTCTTGCCATGCCCGCGGCTCATGAATCCCGCATTCAGTTGGCACATAGGTCCGTTTGATAGAATGTAATATCCCGCTTTTCGAATTCTTCAAAAGGAATCACGCCCACTTTTACATTGCTTCTTATGCAGCTTTCTGGAGCACACCCCATATTTCTCACCTTCACATAGGTCTGTTTGGTAGAAATACGTCCAATTGTTCCTTGAAGCTAACCATTACACTTAACTAACTCCTGTGACGCAAATTCTAACACAAACTCAAACCTGCTCCCTTCCTCTAAGCGCGTTGGTGATGGTATACTTCATCCTCGAAGTGCTATAAGTTCCGTAAGTAGTTTGTAACTTAGGTCGGTAAAAGACCTCAACATGAACAACTTTGATCAGCCAGGAATAAAAATCTTTGATTTTTATTATGCATTGAAATTGAGAAGTGCTAACTTTAATTATGGAATATTTAAGTAAAATAAACTTAAGAAGTAACTGTCGACATTCAGCTGATAAATTTCGAGGAAGTTGGACATTGGCGGATCCAGCAAATTGGCAACAATGTCATTTTTCCATTTAAAACTATAGAAAGGTATCGATCCTTGGAGGGGCCAGGTGCTCCGACAAGAATCGATTACTTGGCGTAGGTTTAAATGGAGGGAATCCGGTGTTGTCAAATTGCTGGATCCCCCTCTGAAGTTGGAGGAGAGGCACGAAAATAATCCTCGAAGTTGCATTAAGAGTTTCGATTCGTCTTAAGTACCAAGTCTGGGTCTCGCCTACCGTCATCTCACCAAGCGAACAACTAACTTTTCACCAAGGCAACTATTTTTAAACACTCTCCCTATATCCTTGTATCCACGTCTTATTTCGATTTATTTCCCCCTGAAACCGATGAGATCTTCGAAATCTAGGAACGCGAGATTTTGATACGTGATACATTTTCCCTGTAGCTTGCTTTTCAGCTTTAAATGAGTAATCCTATTAGTAAACTGAGAGTTTTCTCGTTCTGAACCAGGTATAAAAATATAGTTCAGTGTTTAATTTCCTAATTTCTGTCTGTCCCCGCAAAATATTTACAATCGTAAATGCGCACCTTTAAATATTGAGACATACAAACATGTTTGAACTGATGAGGTGTATACGGGAATGCAAATTGATATCCGCGTAGCACTTTTAAATTTCGATTTCGCATGGTTCTTTTATATTATTCAATTTCAATAAAATATGGTTTCCGAATTTTTTTTTCCAATGTGTCATACAATTTTTATGACAAATTAGATTATTTTTTTTTGTAGTATGAAAATTCATGGGATTTTAAGACAAGTTACAGAAAAAGGTTTACTCGGTAACTTGTAAAAAAAAATTGCGTAAAATTCATAACTATTTCATATTATAAGATGGCGGCTTTGAGAATATCAATAGTACGTAGGCAGATTCAGGGGGAGGGGGGCTAGAGGACGTGCGCCCCCCCCCCTCCGTCCGCCCAAACCAAAGGAGGAAGAAAAAGAGAGGGCAGAGGGAAGGAAATGAGGAAAGCAGAATGAAAGACGCTTACATTTGGTTAAATTTATTCATGACGAAATTGACTTAAACTGCATATTAGATGCTTCAAAAATTCAAAAATTTTCTGAGGGGGCCCTCTTACGCACACCCCCCCCACCGTGTCTATATGTGGATGATATCTTTCATAAAATTTTAAAATCCACATTTATCACAATTGCGGCTTTGACTTTAAGAGTCGCCGATAGTAGAGGGAAGATTCCACTCTCTATAGCTTGGAAAAAATTTGGGTAGATTTGGCCAAATTGTACGTGTCTTAAAAATAGGCAGGTACATACTGGAACTATTTATACCTCCAAAACAGGTAAAACCTTTGTGACCAGATTTGCCGGAGGTCTCGAACGACTGGCGCCCCATTCACACTTAGATCAGACGAAACGTGCCCTCGTGCATCGTCATACAACCACGAGACTATGATGCCGCACACTGGATCGAGTCAATAGAAGAGGTCGGACAAAATTTGGAAACTTTAAACGCTCATGACTCAGTTTATACAAAACTTTGAGGTCTTGAAAGTGGTTACATCGGTTTTCTCGTGAAATATTCCTCTAGAAGCACCCCTTAAAATTTAAAATGTGACGAAATAAACATAAAAAATGGCAGTTTCAGTAAAAAATGTCATGTCCGATCTCTCTGATTAACTCGATACACTGTGCGCCGGTTTAAAGTGTGTGTGTATACGTTTACGGAGAGTTTTTCTCGGAAGTGCCGGATCGCAAAAAAGAACGCGGGAACCATTTTGGGCATGAAAAAATCGGCGGCGCTGATGGCTAAAGGGCAACCGCGGAAGTTTGCAGGTGGGTGCGAAATTCTTCTTCGACATCCTTGCCGATGTTAAGATTTAGGAATTGACTTGTGCCAATGAATGAAAGTCACGTAGAGATTATCTTTAAGATTAAAGCGCAAAGGAGAAGGAGCGGGTTCTTCTGGGAAGAAAGCGATGGGATCCAAAGGCTTGCTTTTTAGAAACGATTGCAGGATTTTTACCCACACTTTTCTAAAACGAAAGGCGGAATTTTCTGGATACTGATAGTCGTGATGAGGTAGAAGTTTGTGAAAGACGAACACATCTTCATATTTTTAGTTTTCAAGAATTTATAGCCGTATTCGACGCTAATGTTTTACAATGAGAGGAGAAAAAAACTGAATCAATTATCCTATCAGTTTTGAATCGACCACCAAAAAAAAGAAGAAAAAATTAACTACGCAAAATTCTCACACATGTCGATGGCTTAGGTCGAAAAATGCAAAACGTAATTCCAGCGATTTTTTTTCTTTCTTTTTTTGGAACTACGATGTAACATAAATTAAGAATTTTAAATTTGAAAATTTCTGTGGAAATTCTTGGATGGAGGAAGAAAAGTGATACAACATTCTGAAAAAAAAACCGTTCGTCAGGTTTCAATGAAAAAATACGGTTCCTCTGTATCTATTTTGAATAAAATTGAGCGAATAGAGTTTGAAAATCGACAGTACATAGAAATTAGGGACGCCGAATGGACAGACACACATTTTTTCAAGAATTTTCTCTTTCTCTCTTTTTTTTACGCCAGGCTCATTTAAACGCCTACAAAATGATAAAGGTAATTTCATTTTTTTAAGATGACAATACTTCCTCTACCCGCAAGGGAAGTGCGAAAGTAAAACTTAAAGCTAAACCATTGAACATGTGGGTGATTTGCAACTTCAGAATCGGAAATAGGTAGGTCTGTACGTATTATCCGGCTCACGAAATCTATATGATCAATCAATATATACTTTTTTGTAAAAATGTCATTTTTAATACATGTCTATCCCGAAAAATGTGTAAAACACAAAAACATGAGAATAGTTTTGGAACGGCAAAATATAAAAAAACCCGGTTCGCAGAACGTCTTACTGAGTTTGAAGACAACTTTTGAGTAAGTCCTCCCCGATGATGAGAAGACAGCAGAGTGACTTCAACGAAAGAAAAGAGAGGGGCGTTATCAAAGAGGCAAACTAGTCAATGAGACAGTAGGTATCAATATCAATAAATTGAATAAACAAGCTTATCACGGTTTCTCGAGAAGATAAATATAACATTACGCGTGCGCGAAGAAATCGGTCAAACAGGTGTACTACAGAGGTTAAATGTAACTTTATCAACACCCATGCCTACTGAAAGTGTAGTTAGCGCAAAATACGTAAACTGTAAAAAGTAGAATTTTTTTTTTTTTTTTTTTTTTTTTTTTTTTTTTTTTTTTAATGAAAAAAGTAAGTTACCGTCAGCATCGGTGTATCCCCAATCCTGCGACATTCTGAACTGGAGCGGTAACCAAAAACTGAACAAAAACCGATGAAAAAACTAATCGGAACGAAAAACGAACTAGTACAAGTCACCGGCAACACGTAAACTAATCGCTGCGCACTGGTAGATGAATTTCAGCAGGAGTCGAATGGGGACTGAACTAGGAAGACGCGGCACTGGATTTAAATGGTTTGTTTACATCGGAGGTTAAGGCACTGCGCGCCACGGTTTTCGAACTACCCTCCCTCGGTGAGATCGGCACTTGCGACCATAGTTGGAGAACTTTTGACTTTGAAGCTAGCTCCGACGTTCCAGCTCGACTGATTGATGAGCACTGCGCAAGCGCTCAGCTTACGTTGGCTGATAAGAACATCGTAGTGAGCGCCCCACTCCACTTATCGCGTGAGCAAGTTCAACCGTTCAACGTAGGTAGGATAAAACTTGTCTCCGACCGGAGCATTCATCCGCGTTCAAGCGGCAGGGTTTCTAGATAGTCCAGACATGCCGCATTAGACTGTTTCGTCGCGACGTGTGCGCTCTGGCGGCTTGGTGGGTAACTCTCTCGTGGCGGGAAATATCGCTCGGTTTGAATTGACGCTCTTTTTCCTACACCGCCGCCGTCACGTCGCTACACTGCCGTGCCGAGGAAGAACGCCGTGTGATCCTTCAGACGTTGCCAAGTTTCCTCCGATAAAAACCGAATGTACTGGGAAAATTGCGAATATTATTCTAGAAAATTTTCAGCCAATTTTGTGCGCAATTTATCTGAAATATCTGAAAATTTAAAGGGAAATTATTCATACGAATGTTCTCAAAAATACATATTTTACCGAGGGAAATTTGGCAACTCTCGAAGGTTCAAACAGCGTTCTCAGCACGGCAGTACAGAGATCGTCCCCATCTGCGAAGAGTATCACAGGCTCTGAAATGTTAAATTTACAGGAGTCATAAAAAATTTATTTGCGTTGGCCGGAAATCGATGACCTAAGTGCGGAACCATGTAACTTCATTTCGACGGTGTAAGTCGGCAATCACATAACTCGTTTGCGGTGTCTGAAAATCTTCGCCTCTGTGTTAATTTTTTAAAGGAGAACAAATTGACATCATTCCTTGAAGTTTTTGCAAAATTTTCTTCGTACAAAGGAGGAAAATCACGGCAGTTTTAAAGAAATGCCGCTGAGTAGTTTTCCGTTTAAAAAATAAAGTAAGACAGGAAGTCTGCAACGTCGCAAATCGAGTTATGTGATTACAGATTTACACCGTCGATTTGTAAAACCATTCTGTAAAAAAGAGAAAGGTTCCCCTTCTTTAACAATAAGTATTACTACATGGTTCCCTATCTCTAAACAAATCAGTGGTAGTGAGCTTATTGGGCAATTAGATACGGATCCATCACAAAATGGAAACAGAGCGAAGAAAATGAGGCGCATTGATGACGGTGCAGAGATACAACTTTTCGTGCTTGATGGATGTCCGTGCTGCATCTGAAAAATTGAAGGCGCGATGACGCGAGGCGTGAAATCAAAATGTTCCACTCAAAATGCTCCGCCATCGCGCCTTCAATTTTTCAGATGCAGCAGGGACATCTATCAAGTACGAATAGTTACATCTCTGCGCCGTCATCAATGCGCCTCATTTTCTTCGCTCTGTTTCTGACGTCGCAAATCGAGTTACGTGATTGCCGACTTACACCGTCGATTTGCGACGTTGTAGAGGTTCTATCATACTTTAATTTTGCTCTTGAAAAACTGGTCAACGTAATTTCTAGAAAATGTCCTTGATTTCTCTCCTCTGTGGGCAGCATAACGACGGCGTAAGACCGCGACCACGTATCTCGTTTGCGGCGTTTGAAAATCTCTGCCTCTACAATATTATTTTTTTAAAAGAGAACAAATTGACATCATTCCTTCAAGCTTTTGCAGAATTTTCTTCACACAGACAAGAAAAATCACGGCAGGCTTAAATAATTGCCGTTGAGTAGTTTTCCGTTCAAAAATAAAGGATGACAGGAAGTCTGCGACGTAGCAAGCCGAGATACAGGGTTGCGGACTAACACCGTCGATATCCTGTAGATTCAAGTTTTAAAGTTTGCGCTAAAATAAAATGAGCGAAACTTTCGGAACACCGCATTGGAGATACGTGGTTTCGTACTTCAGCCATGAAATGTAATTCAACCATAATTTGATTGAATTTTACGTTGCCTCATTCCTTCGCAAGTTTCGATTTTTTCATGAAAAAATAAGCACAATTTTGACCTGCATCATGTGAATATGTTCTTTGTAATCCAGCAGAAATTAACATGAAGTTGCAATGTAATGTTGTTTGGCTTCCTGTTCCTTCAAAAAACATGATTTTCTCCCCACTTGGACGCAAAAACAAAAAAATAGAAGAGGAAGAAATTGAACTGAGAGCATCCACACGCGGAATGAGCCCTCGCGTTCAAACACTTGCAGCTTTATTTTTGGATATACAAAATTAACCTTTTGAGAAGGAATAACTGAAGTGAATCACGTTTTGCAATTGGGAAACTGCAATTTCTGGTTCGGTTTTAAAACGATGTATGTATCATTAGTTTCCCTATAAACATACGTATTTTTACGGATGAGCCAAAAATCATAGTTCCTAATTGCAAAACTTTAATCTAAATAGACTGCATTTTGTAATTTGGACCTATACATTCCGGCCCGGTTTAAAAACAACGTATGTGCCATTAGTTTCTCAATGCACATAAGTGTTTTTTCAGATGAGCCAGAATTTATAGGTCCAAATTGCAAAATGCAGTCCAAATGGGCCTCAGGCAGCTTGGATCCGTCAAATTGAGACCTAGCAGTGCTTTCGCATTTGCCTGGTATCTGGATGTTCGATAACTTTCCGATGTATAGACATTATAGTTTTCCAGCTCTGAACACCTAGGACACCGATTTGACAGTCACCTAGCACTCAAATATTGTTCGATAGTGAGCTTAAATACGCCTTCATTCCTAAGAGAGGCAGTATACCCAACATTCATTAGGCATAATTACGCCTATAGCTTGACGCTCTACGACTACGAGTACAAGTATCAGTATTCAGACCGATTTACGCAAATGTATTAGGTTTAAACTCAGAGTCCATTAAAAAATACTTTTCTAACTAACCCTTAGAGCCCAATAGACCCAATTCTTGCTCCCCCCCCCCCCCCCGGTGGCCCGC